AAATACTCTGAACAATTTCCTTTTCTTTAAATATTTTCAGTCTTTAAAGCGTTTGCAGGCTTTCCTATATCCGAAAGAGAAGGAGGAGCAGTACATGGAAAACGATGGAAAAACATTTCTGGAGAGAGAAGTAAACTTCATTTGAGGAAAAGCTGAGATTTGTACAGCCTGGTGCAGCTGAAGAAAAACTTAGAGCTGAGTAACATTTTGTTTGGTTTTTTTCCCTGACTGGCAGGCAATTACTTGATCTTAGTAGGACACCCAAGACGGCATAAATATTCAAATAGAAAGGCTGTGCGTGTGCGTGCATGCATTTTGTGTCTAAAAATAGTTTTCTTTGAACTGGATTCAATTTTGACTTTGCTTGCTTCACTTTTACCACGGAGCACAGCTCCATGTAAAAAAACTACTGTCCTTTTATTGGCCAAGCAGAATTGCCCTTGCTTGGCGCTGCTGCTCTTTAACTCTTCGCTACCACGTACTTCCACTTAGTCAGCGGCAACATACGTGAATCAGTTCTGGGCATTAAGGAATAAAGAACAGATGGTTTAGAAAAATACTTTTCAAATGAGTAATTTTTTCTTTAAAAGTAGTTATGAACTCCGCTTAATTTTTCCAACTTACTTTACCAGTTATTTCCACTTGTAGAGTTAATGTTTAAACCCGGTGTCTGATGTGCCAGATTTTGTTCCATGAGAATCCTTTTTGTCTAACAGAAGAATACGACACTGAATGTGATTTTACAATCACATTCCAGTACTTCATAAATAATGCTTCCATCAAATAAATAGAGTGAAGTCTCCTCTACGATTCAAGAATGCTGACACGAAGCAAGAACGCTGACAATTATGCCGTGACTTTTTCATTCCAAACAGCTCAGGCCAGTCACAAGCTTTTGAGAAAAAGAAGCGTTACGTTAGCTTGTCTGTACTTTACGCTTGCTTTGAATCGATCTCCAAGAGGCCCACAGGACGTGACAGGTGAAGCAGAAGGCTCAATTTCTATACATACAGCTTTGTAGAGCGTGTGAAGTGTATGACGAGAGCCAAAGTGCTGCCTCTAGGAGCTGAGGGGCTCCACTGGGTGCCGTCCCCTTGTTTTACGCACAGTCCCTCCCCACAAAGTTTAAGCTTAAAGGTAACGGCTGAATTGGGAAGGGAAGCATCTCTAATGATGTAGGTCTGACAACTCAATATTAAAAAATGCAAAAGTGACAACAGTCAATCTGTGAAGAGATGAGATGAAGCTGCTCTGCTCCTGGGTTTTCCAAAGGTATCTGGAACTTAGAGTTTCAACCATAGTAGTAATAAATGATTGAGAAGGTGACTGGCACTGACTGTAATATGTGGCACTTAAAAGGTAAATGTGGTGCGGTTTTAAAGTAGTATATGGCACACCTAGATCAGACTCCGCAGGGCAGGGTTATTGAGTTTTAAGCTAGTTCTTCTAAAACTGGCACCTGATAGAATTGCTGGACTGTCTTGAGTTTCATAAACTGTTGCTTTAGCAGACAGAGTTTTTCACGTGTAGCTCCCCGGTACAAATAAACGCTTCCTTGTCAGCATCTCGCTTCAGTATGTTTTGTTCCAATTGCCAATGGCTTGTCGACACAAATTTTTCCAGGTAAATTTTGGGTTTTACTTCCATACCAGCGGAGACAAAACTGTTTTGAGAGATGAAAACAGCTGGTAACGTGGGGCCTGGAGACGGGTAGAGCAGTAGCAGCGTAGCGGCAACGTTCTGTACTGACCGCTCGCAGGGGCGTTGGAGACTCTTGCTCAAATCTCTGATCTCGTTCTGCCACATCTCTCTCACCTTCAGCACCACGAGTGCTCCTACAGGGTACGTGCAGTCACAGGGGTGTTGAGAAGCAATTTTTGGGCAGGCTCGGCGCATATCACAACCCCTAGCGGCTCTGAAGGAACTAGGTAGAGTTGAAATGGCATTTGGCAAACAATATTTGAGATCGGTGAGGTAGTGACGGGAGAACAAAGTCTTTCTGCCAGTGTTTTATTACGGAATAATGAACTGAAGCAGCCGAGTTTCCTGCGTCAGCGCGCAGCGGTTACTGCATTGCTCTGCTTCCACCAAACCCAAATTACTTTGTTTGCTGCAGATCCCCGAGGCTTTCGTGCCTTCGCGTGCCCTTCTGCTTCCACTGTGGTCACGTGAAGGTTTCGCTTTCCATGAATATTCAAATTTGTCACGATTCAAGTTACTCTCCCAGCAGCTGAGCCAGGCCAGCTGAGCCGTGGCTCACGTGTGTGTTCTGTGGTGCTTGTTTCCGTACAGCTTAAAGTGGGTTAAATTAAGGGTGGTTTCTCAGCTAGTAACGCCAGCACAGCAGGTGAGTGGGCATTTGCCTGAGACTTTTACCACTAACACTATTATTGGGCTGCTGTGGGATTATACCTGATTTGGGCAACTTTTGCCTCAAAAAGTTGGAGCTCACCAGTGCGTTTTGGCAGCTTCAGGAAGGGAAATAGCAAGTTGAGCGAAAGAAAAAAAGAAGTGTTCTTGAAAAGTTTTCAATTTTTTGAATACAGGAAACCTTTTGCGTGGTAAGAGTATCGCATAAATTATGAAAAACAGGTTTAAACAAATATTAGTAATATCCATGCACACAGTTATTTCCCAAGATAACTGAGTTTGTTGTTTGTTAATGGAATAGTGCTTGTCTCCGCGTGCTTTTCAGCAGTGTGTTTAAGTCGATGGGTTAGATGATAGCGGTGCGGCATACCTCAGGGAAATGAGAAATTTGCATGTAAGCAAACTTGTAGTAGTGATGGATTTAAAGAGGATTGGAGTTTCTGAACATATTTTTCTTTTTAGTAAAAAGCAGTGTAAGATATTAAAAGTGTGTATACATGCACTAATTAAATAAACCTGTGAAGAACTTTTAAGTGCAGAGATACCATCTCTGGCTCAAAATACCTCCACTATAAATAGCTGGATTTCTGGAGAGCATTCCAGGAGAGTACCCTTGGATATTTACTGTGTTCTGACATCCGTTCCTTTTGCTGACTCCTGTTGGTTAGCACTTGACAGTAGGCTAGACGGACTTCTGGCGTGAGCTGTCCCTGTGTTCAGAGAATCCTCCCTTTGCATACATCTTGATTTTTTACTCCTCCGTAAGGGGTAGGAAGGCTGAAGTAGCTGTTGGCGTTTTCGTACGTTGCTCTCAGTCTGTGACACTGCGAGTTGATGGCTGATGTTGCTCCAGAACAGGGGGCAGTGGACGATGGGGAGGACTCTGCCTGGTTGCCAGCAGTGCAAATCCCATCAACGAAATCTTGGAAAATACAATCTTTTGATATGTCTTCAGTGGAAGTCAGTAGTTTGATATCACAAGTGTTAACACTTTAAATTTTCTTAGCGTTCCCAGTTCTTCACAGGCCTGGTGTAGGCCTGTTGATTCTACATTGTGAGATTTATCTTGGCTTTTACTTTTATGGTCCCAACACCTCTTCCATCTCTGGCAACTTTACCTGGGGTTGCCTAGAATTACTCGTAAATAACAGGTAGCATAGGCCTGCAAATTGTTAGTTAAGTGTATAATGAATTTGTCTTCATAATGAAAATCTAAATTTCTGGCCTTTTCTGTAATGGAAAAATACCAAAGCTTGGAGAAGGACTTCTAGTCTAAATTTCAGTCCTGTGTTCTTTTTTGGAATTGTAGCATATCTGGGAAAAAAAAGCCTGCATTCCCCCACCCCCGAAAAATAAAGGTTCTATTTTAACTTGTCAGCGCATGGTATTAATTCATGATGGGAAGCTATTTCTGGACACATACATGATGATTTCCTTTAGCTCAACCTCGCATTTTTTTGCTTCTGCGCCCTTATTTGGTCTGCTTTATTAAAGTTAGCCTAGTCTTTATGTTAAACAGAGGTATCCAAGGCAGAAGCAGTGTTCTGAGCCAGGCAAAGCGAATAAGAACGATCTACTCGTGAGGTGAAACAAGGAGGCACGTGGAGAACATGGAAGTACTTGAGTGAGACTCAGTCTTGAATTCTCTGTACTCGTCAAAAAGCTCAGATGGCACATGACTGATTTTGCTGGAGATGAGCACGTTTGTATCGATACACGCCAGATTTCACATCTTAAGAGAACTAAAACAAAATTAGGAGGTAGCACACTCGCTTTAACCTTCCCTTTTCCAATTTAACTGGTTTTTAACCAACCTTATGCCAAGTAGGTTCTTATAGACGGTTCTTACTCGTGGTACTGCTTGCTGTGCGTTAACTGCTTTGTTTTTCAAAGCGTGCTGGAATGTGCACAGATAGCTCCTTCTCTCTGTGAATTCACCCCATTAGGTCCCTGTTTGTCTGTAGAACAGCGCGTTAGCCCGAGGATTAGCTTAGCTGTTTGCACGCTTCCCGGTTACTAATCGTTACCTCTGCTTTGCAGAACATCTTCAAGTCCTGTTGAGGTTCACAGGTCCGTAGAGCCCTTGGATGTTTTTACATTTTTATTCACTTTTGCCAGTAAGCATGAATATTTTTCTCTTTCGGAGCATATTCGGCTTGTTTGGATTTATTTTTTTCTTCCACTGAAGAATTAAGTCCTACAGTTTGATTACTGTATTATGTGTTTGAATATTGCAGGCTATAGAATTTCCCTCTCTAGTTTATGTTGTGTAGTTTAATCCCTTTTGAAAGGGATTTACTAAACTGCAAGAAGAAGAGCTACTGCTTTGGTAACTTCTTCCAAATTTTTTCTTCTGCTTCTTTAATAAGATTGTCACAGTAGCAAAACCAGCTCAGGAAGGATTCACCCTCAGAAAACCACCTGACCAGCCAAGAACTGAAACAAATGTCCAAGGAAAAGTTGGGAATGTTGGTCAGTGTGTTACGCTGGCAGCAGGATTATCAAACTGGTCATCATTTCGTCAGGATTTTTTTTTTCCTTTTATACTTTTCAGTTGATTCATTAGATCCTTGAACTTAAAAAATAACGACAAAAAAATATCCTTTGAAATTCTGTTTTGTCTTCAACAGTGCCCTTAAAGATAGTCGTTTCCCCCCAATGACGAGGGATGAGCTGCCACGGCTTTTCTGCTCAGTGTCTCTCCTCACTAACTTTGAAGATGTGTGTGACTACATGGACTGGGAGGTAAGGATGTTGGATATCTTCTAAGAAAATTACTTTGGTACCATGAACATCTGTAGCAGAAGTCACACCACTTAAATTACCTGCATGTATTGCCTGTAGTTGTCACCGTTGCGTCCTCTGTTGTTTTGTGCATAGTTTCAAAAGATCCTTTTTGATAGAACCATCGTCACCTTAAAAGTCTGAGCCATGGAAATGAAATAAAGTTGTATTCTTGCCTGCTTGGGCACCTGAAGTGCGAGTGGTCTGCACAGCTTCTTTATGTCCAAGACTGCGTCCGGGCACGTGGGGTCTGAGTGACGGTGCCCCGAGACGTCTTCTGCAGCATCGCAAACTACCGAAACAGGCTCGGTCAGGTTATTGATTCTGGAAAGAGGATGTTCAAGGATGAACGTTAATATAGTCTGGTGTGTGCTTCTGGAAACAAGCCCTGCAAAAAACCACAGAAAATCCCAGAACGAGCTGCCTTGTAGGGCTGAACCTCTTATCTTCCCCCAAACTTCCTCTGCTTTCAGAGTGAGTGGCCTGCCCAGACCCCCCAAAGCCCTTATTACACAGTGAGGCCAAGGAAGTCATTGCTCTTGTTTTTTCTGTGCTACTTGTGCGTGAAGCCGAATTTGTTTTAATGGCTGCATTCTAGGAAAGCTGCGTGCGTTCTCTTGGAACAGCAGCATAAAAGATTAAGAGGCAAATTCTGCTTTTAGAGTTATTTCTGGGAAGCTATACTGAAAGAAGCATTGTTCTGTATTCTGCTTTTTCCCAAATTATTTATTAGACACTTGCAAAAAACGAAGTTACTGGTCTTAAGATGAACTTCTCATCTCAGTGTGACTGTTCTGTTGCTCTTTTGAGTCTATATTTGAGTGAACCTTAAAAATAGTTTTGAAATCGTCCCATAGGATAGTGGACATGCTGTAATGCCAGACACCACACAAGTTACAGCATTTTCCTTCAGTAATGACTTAGCTCTAGTCAGTATTGAGGATTTCTTAAAAGAGGTGGCTTCGTATTGTATTCACACATAACAAATGTGTATCACATAGAAGTTTTGTCTGTCGTTAAAATGGCAAGAGGCCCTCCGGTGTCAGGACGGTGGTACCCAGCAGTGACCTCAGTGTTAGGAATTTCACAGTAGCTGAAAATCTAATAAAAGTGTGTTTCCTGTTCAACTCAGAATGACAAGGACTTCTTCCTTTCTGACAGGTAGTTCTGAATGAGGTGAATGTAAGTTTCCTTTGGGGTTTTATCAGTATTTTCACCACCAGTAGAATTATTCATTTTTTTCAAGTACTGTCAGACCAAAGGATAAATTTTAGCTGATACTGCGCGTGTGTTCTCAACAAGGAGCTTTTTTTCACAGAAGTAGCTTCTCTTGTCACTGAGCCATTACAGCGCTTTAAACAGTGTTTTCAGGTAATATAAACCATAGTGACATTTAATGCTAAACTAAGCCAGAAGTCAAAATTTAAACCAGTAGAATTTTTCTGCTTTACGGGGTTGACTTCTGGGAGTAACCATTGCGACATTTTCTATTTAATTTCATTAAATATCAGCTGATGAATACCCTGAGAAAATGACTCTTGAAAAGTGCATCATTAAATACCGTTTAGCTCCTTCCATGTGGTGGTCTGTAAATATTATTAGATGCTGCTTTATTCTCTAAACTCCTAAAATGACCTAAATGTTCATCCTTAAAGAGAAGCTGAAACCAAAGCCTGAGTTCAAAACTCCGCTCTCCCTTGGGAAGACTGGTTTCTGCCTTTGTTCCTTGGGAGGTTTCTGATTCATAACTTGAAAACTTGTATGAAACAACAGAAGTTTTTACTTTCCGTGTCCTTTCTACACCTTGTTGCAGAATCCTTGAGATTTCAGTGACAGCGTAAACATACTCGGTTGTGACTGAATTTATGGATTCTCACAATTCTTACTGGAACACCCTGACTTAGGAGGGAAGAACGAAGGGGTTAAAAAATGTAATATTGTGTTATCTATTTGCTTAATTGCTCTCTCTCCAGTTTCATTTAAGGTGTTGGGGTTTTTTTTTAATGTTAGGTTTATAAAACCTGTAGCAAATTCCTAGGAATTCTAAGAAACAGTCACAAAGTAGGTTCCATGATGTGGTTTTGTGGTTTTTTTCTTCTTCTCAGGTGATTTTATCCTATGTAGTTGTGGATGTTCCACCAAGTTTCCATGCAAAAGGGTGGATAAATAAAGCAAAGATAAAATTGTAGTTGTTGGTCCTTAAAAGAATGATTCATCAACTGTTTGTGCCCCTGTCAGTGAGATACCTTGTGTCATCCGTGTTTCTTTTAAGGGAGCTGCAGTTATGTGATATTAACGGTAAAAAGACGTTTCAGGATGTGTAGAGTGTGACATAAAGAGAGATTCTGCATCTTTCATCTCGTATAATGGTCATTTCCAGATCATCCTGAAAAACATCCTGGTTAGGAGACCTCACTGCTCTAGGGGTGCTACTGATCATCTCGTGGGAGCCGGTTCCCAAACAAAATAAATTAGTATTTCAGTTGTAAAAAGCAACATGAGATCCTTTTGCAGCAGTAGATATGAGTGAATTGGCTGTTATTAGCTCCCATATGATTTTTCAAATTGCTATCATTTTCACCGTTAATAAAAGAAGTAAGTGGGAGAAAGTACAAACCTTTAAAGGACCACTTCGATGCCACGGCTCATGAGGATACTTCCCAAAATACGATGTAGTGTTCTTACTCAGATGCGACTTTGTGTGAATTCGGTGCGCTTGGACAGCTGAACAGATGCAGGGCTCGGCAATGAACGCCGCCCCTCTGGGAACCGTTTCTTCGTTTCCGTTAGGCAGAACCCCTGAAATGTTGCCGTGGGCCACTTGCTGCTGGGGCGCAGTTTCGCAGCCTTTCCGTCTCAAAAAAATGGGCACCACGAGAAGCTCTCAAGATACATTTCTTTTTTTGGATAGTACTGCTCTCTTATTAAAGATCAGATATCAAAGGACTAGTTGAGAGACCAGTCATAAAGACCAATTATTTTTAATACATTTTACATTTATAGCAGTCATTCCTTCCCCGCATAAACTCAGCTTTACCTGTACTTCCCTTCTCTTTGAGCTCATCCTTCTGATCTGTCTGTCTACCGAGTCTTCTCTTTCCTGCACAAATTTGAATTCCTGCCTCAAGATGCCTCCCAATTTTGCTGTTAATCCTTAATGCAGATACACTCGTGTCTCACGTCGCTCCGGCAATTTGTGAAGTTAGCAGCACCCCAGCGGAAGGGATGTAGAACAGTTTGAGTAGATGGCTGTGAAGAATCACGGCTTCGAGTCCCTTAGAAAGAACTTTGATTTGGGAAGCTTGTCAGTCTGCAATTTGGGCAAGTAAGGCTACGCTTCGGAAGGACCTGTGAGTGGCTTCAGATCCCAGAAATGGCACAGATTAAGGTGCAATCGCGTTGTAGGACTTGCAGTTCCAGCTTTGGCGCTACGGGCTCTGCCTCCTTGAGAAGGTACGGCTGCAATGACAAATGATTTAATCTGTCCCCTATGTGCTTGCTTTTTTTTTTTTTTTCTAGAAACACAGAAAAGTGCCTCTACTCAATCTCTATTTCATGTTACTGCAAATGAACAGCTTTTTAATTTAGTTTCTCAGTGAATTAATTAAAGATCTGGGGAGTTTTTTTGCTTGAAGGTAAAGCCTGTCTTGCTAATTCAGATGTTCTCCCCGTTTTTTTAATTAAAACATCATAAGACATTATGACTGTGTGTAATTACAGTAAGAATTGTTTTGGAAAACATGATTGTAATTCTGACAGGGTAATAAATAAGGAGAACTGTCCAGCTGCTCTTCCTTAGAATACCTTGGAAGAGATCTTTGCCCTGAAGTTGCTGTTCTGCAGTAAAGTAAAATCTGCGGAACTGTACATGCTTGCTGTGCTGATACAAAAGGCCTTTAGCCTTTGTGCACTGGTTTAAATATTAGCTTAAATAGTTGCGGACAACGATGTTGACTGAAAGGTGGCTTTTCCTTGTTGGCAAAGTTAGATGAAAGAGCTGTGGAAATTCTTCCTTTCCTGCAAGCTCAGCAGCAATGGGAATGGGGTTTTTTGCAGTTTATATTTGTTAGAACAGAGAAGAAAGAGTCTTGATCTCAGAATTTTATTCTCTTTGGACGTTTTTCAGTGATTCCATGTATGTAAATAGATGATTCGTTAAGAAAAGAATGGTTGTCGTGAGGCAGAGAGCGTATCTCCTGAGTTGTCTTTTGCCTTCATTGTTAAAGCAGAATGTTAATATTTAAGCCCCACTAAAGACAAAGAAGCCAGCGTATTTGCTACAAATGTGAGACTAAAAAGCTGTAGAATTCAGCTACTAAAAACTGGGAACAGCTTCTAATAAGTAGCAATAATCACTTAACCTGAAGTGTTCCACTTCCAGGCCAGTCTGGGTGCAGCTGTTGCCGCAGCCCTTGCGAGGTAAATCAAGGGGAAAGTTTCCGTGTTGGGTGGTGTCACAAGGAACCACGTACGAGTTAGAGGCCGTCTGTTCTGTTTGAAAAAGGTCGTAGCTTGCCGCTGGTCAAAGACTGAGCTGAGAAACCCTAAGTCAGCACAGGGATTAGCCGTGACCCAGAACAGCCTGGTGGGGTTCGTCGTGTGGCTGTGTGAATGCCCGTACCGGGGGAGCGCAGCAGTTGGCGGTTGTTGCTCGTGGCCGTGGAGCGGCCGTGCTGGCAGCGAGGAGCGGCCGTGGAGCGGAGGAGAACCGCGAATGGGAGGGAACTTGGTGAACAGGCAGGGACTTGTTTCCAACCCCAAGGAGGTGCTGCGCGGCTCCAGCTCTGGGGTATTCCGTCTGGATTCTTTGGAGCAGATTCTTTGTTACCTGCTTTAATGTATCTCTGAAAAAATGTTTACAATTAATTCATTTTAGGCTCATTACTGATAATGACTTGCAAATCTCTTGCAGATTTCAGTGCAGTAGATAAAACTGAAATGCATTATTATTTGATGATAATTTACTCCTCGGTGGACTAGACACTTATATTTGAGTGAGGCTTGATGGTTTAGATGCTTATCCAAATTCCACACTGAGAGCCTAAGGAGAATAATGTTATTTCTACCTCTCAGTATGGTTGGAGAGTCAGTACAGGGGGAGCAGATCTGTGAACTGTGTGTGGAACCTTCAGTTAGAACAGTCCAACACGAGAGTTGCTTCAGCGTGGGTTTCAGGGGTTTTTTTTTAGCCCAGCTGAGGTAAAGAGGTATTACAGGCAATAGTCTAGCAAGGGCCAGAAGCATTTGGCAAAACAATAAGTGTAGTCTGTGCGGGTTTTCCCCCATCCTGCGGTGTATGTAAAATGATTCTGTGTAAAAAAAGAATGTGTATAAATACGAATATGACTGTGTATAAATACACAGTGAGGTCTGAAGTTCTGTTGAGGTCACTTCAGAAGTATGCAATCCTTAGATGTAGTGAAAGATTTTTTATAATTCTTGCCACGGGACCCAGTTTTAAGTAGCCTCTGGCCACTTAGACAGTGGGCCCAAAAGGTGACATCCCTGGGTGCTGGATGCATAGGCTACAGTTATGTCTTGCTCTGTAACCCTATACAAGTATTTCTGTTGGAGGAGATCAGTTTGTTGCCGTTTGAATTCTCTCTGCTTATCTGTTTTCTTTCCCAATAACAATGGTCTAAATATATTCCTGTCCGTTTAGGGGGCCGCCACGGCAATTTTTGCAGCTTGGAAAGGTACCTGTGTGTAGGCATTTCCCTAATAAATTGGAATAGACAAGACAGAACCTTAAACTCCACCCACAGAAGATGACTGGGTTGTCTTTCTCTGAACTGCAGAGACAGGTGATGTTGTTACACGCTGCAGACAAGTTTCTGTAGCAGTATGTTTAGTTTGACAAGCATGCCAGAGGCTTTATAGGAGCCTGGTAACCTGTTCCAGTCCAGTTAGTACCTCCTGTCTTAGAGAGGAATAGTTTGGGAAATTTCACAGCTTACATCAACGCAGGAATGAAGATCTCTTCAGGAAGTCAAAATAAATTCCTAACTGTGCCCATGCCAGTCTTAGCATGGCTCATTCTTTTGCTTATGCGGAGCTTCCCTTTAATTAACTCAGCCCTGGTTTTGATTAACTGGATCTAAACAATGAAAAGCCATTTGTACTGGACTGAGAGTCCCGCTTAGCGGCGCAGCAGGAACCCACGCTTCGCAGAATGCCATGAAAGTTTTCCAACCGGAGGAACCACGGGTGCCGTTGTGTTGCCGTATTCGTTTTGCTCGATGTCTTTTTCTTCTACAGGCAGGAGCCTAAAAGTCCACTGAGATGGTTAAAGGGAAACATCCAGAGCGATGCTTGAACGTTGCATCGTACTTAAGCATCAGCAGTGCTTCCAGCTAGTTCCTCCTGAACATGACATGATCACTACTACGCCAAACGGTTGTGCAGAATTTAGAACGTACTATTCTGCAAGATCTCAAGGTGTGCGAAACCTGAAAATATTTGGTCTTCGTGCTTAGACAATCGACTGTCGACAGTTACGAAGTCACCAGCTGCAAAAACTTACTCTGAAATGAACTCTCTAAAGCTCAGTTCAGCTTCTAACCCTGTTTCGTTTAACTTTCAAGTCCTTTGGGTTCATAATTACATCATTCTAGTGATTACATCTCCATGTTATGAAAGCTGGCTTTAGGCATGTTTGGTAATGAAATACCATGTTAAAATTCGCAGTGAATTAGATTTGTTAGTCCCAAAGTAGTTATTTCTATTTAAACCATGTTAGATTCGTGGGGAAAAACTGTTGAGGCTATGGCCAGCCACAAGAGAGACTCTTCCTCCCGTTTCCCCACATTACATCATATACAAAGATTAAAAAATAAAGTCTTAATATAAGCCGATATGTTAATTGAACAAGTGGCAGAGCTTTGTAAATATTCCTCATTTGTTTTTTCACTGTCATGCAGTTCTGGTAAAATAGGTTGTCGCTGGAATAACTGTTTCAGCGTTTTTCACTTAGTTTTGTGTCCCAAAAGAAGTACCACACCAAATAACGTGATATCCTGTTAAACATGAACTGTGCATTTCCACATACGACGTTGGGAACTTGGGATTTAAATGGAAATAGCATCGTAGTTCTGTGGGCGTGAAAATAAAGACATCCATCTACTAATGCCTGATGTTTATGCACAGAACTCAAAAGCAACTGAACACTGACTGGAATGGAAGAGCTTTTATGGCGTGCCTGACCCAAGTGCAGGTACTCTCACCCGAATTACCGTACCTTGAAAAGAGGAGTGCTTAACAACGCCATTTTTATTTTTATATGTTTAGCAGTTCAGTTTTCTGTACACCTGACTCCTTGGAATTAATAATTTGGGTTTCCATACTGGCATTTTGTCAAAGTACTTAGTAGCGTGGAAGTAGGAGTTTGAAGCTGAATGCTTTGGGATGTTTCCTTTTCCTCGTCATACGTTAGCAGAAATTTGGAGGGCTCCAGGCTCCGAGTTCACAGCGTTGGCAAATCTTTCGTTGTTCTGAGCAAAATTCGTGGTCTGAATTGAAGCATCGTCAGATTTGCCAGATCTTTAGTTGCCTGCTGATTGTATCTGGTGGTTTTTTATCGGCAACAACATCGCTGATGGTGTCAGAGGGACACAGTAAACCCAGAGAAAGAACGATTTCTGCATCTCAGCCACTTTCCTTCCGACCAGAAGCAAAGCTCCAGGGTAGGGAGCTGAGGAGCGTGTCCGTGCTGCTACTTACAAGGCTCTAAGGTGAACACCTTTCCAAAAAATAACATTCGTGTCGGTACCACCTCTTGAAACGCTTTGCAAAACGGTCGTAACCACTGAGAGGTTCTCATTTTGGGGTTTATCATGTTAGAAGATCTTTTTTTTCTTCGAATGTACTAATAAAGCTGCCGATTTCTTGCAGGTGGGTGTACACGGTATTAGAATAGAATTCATCAATGAAAAAGGATCAAAACGCACCGCCACCTACTTACCGGAGGTTGCAAAGGAGCAAGGTCATTGTTGCACTTTATTTCATATGATCTGGTGAAGAATTTATACATATAAATCTAAAATGCAATATTTGACCTTGCACTGATGTCAGATGCTGGAGCAATATTTAATTGTAAGAAGACTCTTATATAAAATGCCAATTACGTGCCTGTATCAGTCCCCTGACGGGGATTTAGTAACTGTTGTTTAAACAAGTCCTAAATGCAGCGTAGCTGTAGGCAAATAAAATAAGCAGGGGTGTTACGGTGCTGTCAGTCAACTTTACAGTTCTTAAAACCTGCTGATTTTTGTACACGTGTTATGCTGTGTTATTAGCAACATGCAAAAACTCTAACGGAGAGGATGCCTGCTCAATTATCTTAGCTCATTTAGTCCTCAATTTGCAATTATA